GTGAAGAAAGACAACCGTTTGGTGAAATCTCCGGGCTCGCTAACTGTCCGGAAGCGGGGCAGTGACGATAAAGCTTCTTGTGATCTCGTAGGCGTCAGTTCGACTTCAGAAGAAGAAAGACGCATGTTCGAGGTAATTAGTAGCACTAAAAGCAAAGGGCGGCCGAAGATTAAAAAACAACAAAGAGAGGCCAAACGACTACGTATGGAAGATTCGAAACATCAAGCCAACGTATTGGTTCAAAGAACACTCGTCCCTGTTAAGGATTTAGCTCTTGTCCGCAAGACATTAGAGTGCAGTTTTAACGTCTCGGATGCGCTACCAGTGCTACTAAGTATCACTCCAGTCGACGCACCTGTATGGAAGTCCACGTCGATCATCCAGATTGCTCGAAAGAGGAAAGTACAATGTCAAGTCACCATCGTGTTCCCGAAGAATTTCTTGGTAAAATGCATTGATGGAATCAAAATGTACCGGAAATCGCTTCCTGGTGATCATAACGCAGGGAATATGGGAGTTTCGATCGCCAAACTAGGCACATATGCCGAAAAAGATCTTGTTACAATGAAAATGTGGAGAGAGAAATTGCCGAAACTGGAATCGTTTAGCGATCTAGTGTCCTGGATTCGGCTGTCAATTTTTTCGAGATTGTCGTTATCGCCCCCTCTCAATAACTGTACCAACGTCGACACAAAAGCGTGTGCTACACGGTTGGAGACCATTAATCTCAAGCGCACTGTGAAATCCCGCTTTGGAAACATTGCAGTCCATGAAATCGCTGCATTTCGCCGTTCGCAGTTACTAGATGATGCATGTATCATGCTGGTACTTAGCAATATGGTGGACAGAGATCGTGTGGCTTACCCACGTGTTGGAATCGGCGCTGTAAACCCGTTGTTCATGACAATGGCTGATGATGAAGTGAAGCGCGATGTGATCGAGCATTCCCTGCCGTTCCAGACAGAAAATAAAGTTGTCCCTATTCCTATCCACTTGGAGGCACACTGGGCAGGTGTTGTCTTCAACTATAACGACAACAAACTCGTCTACTTTGACCCCATGCAATCAAAGGCAAACTATGACTCGATGGAAGCGAGTACTTCGGCGAAAATCAAATGTGGGTTTGTCATCATTCGCCAGAGAGCACCTCGACAACAAGACACTACCAGCTGTGGGCCACTTACACTGCTGTTTTTCGACTGCATGGTAGTGGGAATCTTAGTGTCTAACGTACAACCAGAAAGCATACCATATCTGCGGTTTCGCTTTCTCTATCTAAGTTGCCAGAACATTTTCTGCGATGGAACTGAGAGTAACACTGAGATAGATGTTGTATGAAGGAATAAACTGCGAGTTTTCATCATGCATATGATTAACACCCCCATACATAGATCCTCCAGTGAAATCCACCGATACTCAAGGTGCTATGAGAACACTACATGATGCTACGTGCGTTCAATTCTTTTCGCTAAGTATTTTGTACATTCGGATAACATTTGTCTCACATTACAAAACCACTCCTCATTTATAGACAAATGAGTCGTACTTACGCCGTTTGTACAGAAATGAGTCGTACTTAATACGATAAATTACAGATAGATTACGTACTTAGTAGGGTTCGTTGGTGATTGTTGGGGACCCCAAACGCGTCACCTAACTCACCAAATCGTTGATGAGAGTTTGTGAGATCGTTGGTGAAATTCGTCCAGTTTATGCAATATCGTTGGTGACGCTAACACTAGCCTTATAATTTACCGGTCCCAAAATCGGAATTCAAGTCCGTTTTAGTCCGATTTCCACTTTCTAAAATGAAGATACAGCCGTCTAATTCTCTGTAGGTCAGATCGCCCTGTTCGACTGCGATTTTCTATGGCGGTGACTACTGCCCGTGTTTTCAAATCGGTTTTGGTTTAGCAATCATGGAATGAAAACATGGGAAATAAAGTATGGATATGACCCATGTTTCCTAAAATATATTACGAATATCTTACTAGCTGAGGTAATATTCGCAGTTCGAAGAGCTGTCGACTACCGTCTTATCCCGCATATGAACCAGTTGGCGGGATCCCGGGGTCCCACCTGGACCCCGGAACTCCCAAATCTACCGGTATCTACGATGTAGCCATCTATCGGATGTTCCTCAACCTGATCAAGCCGACGTCAATAGCGAGAATGCGTTCATGTCAATATCTAGATAAAGAATTGTACGTAAATGAAATATTCAAGCGTTCGGTTTATCGCTAGCAGTTGTCGGAGTTGCCGAAAAGAAAATATTGATGGCTGGTTTGCCTTGAGCTTGAGCTTGTTTCTCTTTGGACGTCCGGGTGGTCGTTGGTTGGACGGTAAAATACAGGTAGATGTGTTAGTTGAGGAAACATCTTCAGTTGGTGCATTTAAAATCGATTCTGGCACGGCTGGGTAGTAGCTGAGGTACTCCTTTGGAATGGAGAAATATTTTGCTGCGAGCAATTTCGTCTTTTTTCAGTTAATACCTTCACCGGGTGTCGTGGTAGCTGGACGGAACTAATCGAGGCCTCCCAAATCGTTTTTATAGTCGGGCCAAATAGTTCTGCAAGGACAGCCTTTCGCACATTAACCAGATTTCCACCAGACACCGTTGGAAACGAAATAGAGTCCTCATCTGGAGTTGACGCCGTTTCCGTGCTGTACAAATACCCTCATCAATTTCAAAGAGATAGTTTGGAGTGTATCCAGCTGGAGGAGGGACGAAATACTTGCTCAGCAGCGTGTGCCATTTCACGAAAAAGGATGTTGAGGGTCGTTGTGATCCAGGAAAATGCCATTCACACTGTTGATTTTGTTCACTTCACCCACAAGGCTGTCGGAGTGTACAAATTGACTTTGCGAACTGCTCGGCGACACCACGCTATAACTCGATCAGCAATGTTGTGCGAATGCCCAGGAAGTAGAAAGCAAAGAACTACTTTCTTGTAAGGAAATACAACACAAAGCATCGCAAAAAACTTCAACACCACCTTGGACTTGTTCTGACCAACACAGTTATCCAGAAGGGTGAAACTAACATCTGCTCGAGTAATACCATTCCTCGCGTTATTTTGCAGCGTCGTCAAATGGTAAAGCAGTCGAAGACTGCAGAGCGCGTCCGCATTTTTGCGTTGGGCTCGCTCGTCGTAGAAGTATATGTTGTTGCAATTATTGGTGATGTCAGCCACAACAAAGTTTTGAATGATCAAGTTACTGTTAAGTAGTCTGCCGAAGGGTGTGCATGGCCGTATAGTGGCATAGTGATCCCGCCTCCGTAGTCCTCTGCTTGTATTTGTACACGACAGCACTACGTAGGACCCGTACGGCTTGCACATGAAGTACAGTTAACGTAATCGTCATTTTCAGGTAAAGTATCAATCATATGTGGTGAGGTGCGATCAAGATCTCACGAGAAAGGTGTCCTCGGCTGCCAGATCGCGAGATAGAGACGGACCACGCTGCAGAAATCCCACCCCAAGCCAAGACATCAAGTCATCTCTACAAGATCCAGCGTGCGACAACGTCGGTGAGAGGATGTTGACTTCGGATAACCCAAGATTGACCCCTGGAATGATGGATGGTGACGATACCCATATCACGACACGAGAATGCAAGATCAAGGGGAATGGGTGGACACGAGTCGCTCCCGACCCGCGATCTGGGATCGCGATGGATCGGCGGACATTGATTGATGGAAGATGACTACGTTGGAGTCGCGCTCAGAACAGATCAAGATACCCCCATGTATAGGCGATCCCAGGTCAAGGCAAGATGGTGATCCAGGGTCGGAGGAAGGCGGCGGGACGAGATCGCCGGGAGGCAGCCGTCATGCGCCCCAGGATGAGCAGCGGCGACGAAGATCACCTCGCGACGGCGACCAAGAGATGACTCAAGATCACCGGCCGGTATCCCCGATCGAGATCGAGACCACTGATCGAGATCACCGATCCTGATCGCCGATCCCAAGATGAGGTATGTATCCAGATGTCAGGTGATCGTAGGAAAGCAGCTGAGGATGGGTTAGTAGACATAGGGATTAAAGTAAACAGACTCGAATTTGCTCTAAGCTGCACAAGTGCCCGCCTACGCCTGGAATCGGGGATTAGTTTGACCCCTCAAGCGCACAGACGGTAAGGACGTAGGTTCTAGCGTAGTGGTTAAGCCTGGATAATATATTGGCCAGCTTCGCCCTGCCTAGTGACTTGTCCTCAAGTGCTTATTGTTGATAGGAAGGCATTGACTGCTTGGCCTGAAGATTGCATCGGATCTCGACCCAACGACTTCCCCGCTATTGGAAGCGGCAAGCATACACAAGGAAGGAGCAAGATCTCCGTATTTGGCCCGCCTAAAGACCTGGATCGACACCCAGGCACCTCGATCGCGACACAAGGACTCCTCTGCGACCGAGATCGACCTACGCGAGGTAGAACGAAGAAGTTCCGCGCTATCTCAAGCCCCTGCGTTCCACCCTTTCCAGATATACATCGAACGAATCACCCAGGAGAGCGTAACCCGCCCGCCGTCGGATACACAAGGTGAGCAAGAACACAACCAGATCACGGATCATCGGAGGACCCCCTTCGTTAGTCGGTGTCCGGGCGCCAGTGGTATCGAGACCTGCATCAACGCGATTTTCGCAGATCCCGCTTCGCCACAATGGTGCGCGTGCCCGGACCTTCTGGTGACTCGGGATTTCACCGTGAGTTCCAAGAAGATGTCAAGGTCAAAGAAGAACACAGGGAAGAAGTGCCTACGAATGCTGGATCGACGGAGGCATCGCTTAATACAACAAGATCCACAGATCAGCGGAGGTTGGAGAGGATCTCTGCTGACAGACATGAGGCACTCCTGATCAAGACCCAGATCTTGAAGGAAAGCCTCGAATTCCTCTCAAAGCTGCCACAGCGGCCATCGCAGATCTCGATGAGAACCTAGATCTGAACACAATCAACAAGGAAACGACTAAGTCGAAGTCCAATCTATCCACCAAGTCGATGGCCGCGACAAGATCGTCTAAGAAAACGAAGATCAAGACCGCTCGGACGAAGCTGAAAGCACCCGATTGTGAATTAGAAGACGTGAATAAGCCGAGATCGACCATTGCCCAAGACATGATCGAGCAGGCTCACTATCGGAAGATCCTCAGCGAGACACTGCTGCAGGACCCTGTCATCGCGATCGTACAGGTCCGCCAGATCGGCGATCTGACAGGACCGATATCCAAGTCCAACACCAGCACAGATAGGCTGAATGCGGTGAAGATCCTGCTGGATCCTCCAGGAGGCCGGACTAGTAGCGGGAGAATTCGATCCGGATTCCATGTTCGAGATGGAACTGGGGGCGATCCAGGCGGTGACTCTAGATCTCTACAAATCGCACAAGATCTTGGTCGGCGAACACGTACAAAATACAAACGCCCGATCTGAATTACAAGACCGGGTCGTCACACTACGCGTCGGCCACCTCAGAACCCGATTCAGATTCTCCTCGAGCCCCACAACGCATGTCGCTAGGTCCTTCGGGTGCCACATATCTAAGATCACGCGTGAGCAGGCCGGATAAACGGCTGGCAGGACCGAGTCAGACTCCGGAGAAGCCCGATCGGCAGGAAAAGCGCCAGGTCTCGGCAGGACGAACCACTCCGACGACCAATTCGACCGGATCTAGCAACAAACTGGACGAATACTTCCAGATGGCGATGAATCGATTCCTGAAGGAACAAAGCCTGGTGACGGTGCAACCACCACCTCTCAGAACGCAGGGTATCGACATGGAGTCAGTCGCCACCCCAGATCCAGACTCCTGGGAGTACGATCCCGACGATCTCGGGATTCCAAGCTCCTTTGGTCATACTTCCGGCCGACCCGCGGTCGCTTCGGCAACGATCGGCCCTGGAGGGCCATCGCTGATCCAGAGGGTGCGAATTTCGCCCACCTCGGATCTGAAAGAATTTACCCGGAAGGATATGGACGAAGATCGCACCAGAGCTTGGATCGGCAAGGTGAAATCGGCGTTCCAACGAGATCAAGCAACAGAAGAGGAGAAATGCCTCACGTTCGCGGATCTGATGGTAATGTCAGCCAAGAACTGGCACCGACAGCTGAGTCGGACTACCAAGACCAAATGGACGGATTTACTCGAAAGTTTCCAGACCCAATACTGCGGTCTGGGTATGTCAGTGGCTTGGCAGTATTACAATACTCGGAAAAGATCCGAGGAGGCCCGCTTGATTATCTCTATCGACTGAATGTGGCCGCTCTACGAGCCAAACTCAAGATCAAGGACGGAAATCCAAAGGCGCACCGGGAACACGTCGATCATTACATCGAGACGTTGAGTGATCCCGAGTTGGCAGACCGCCTAACGCTATTACGGTTGGCTGACGTTCGACGAACATGAGGAAGTTCTCCGTGCGCGGGAACGAGCCAAGAGCCGGCAACGCAGATCCGCGTTCGGGTCGAAATTTCGTCAGAAGGCCCCGGCGAGCGCTCCGGCTGCGCCAGCCCGTGCTATGGTACGCGTGATTCAAGCGCAAGATCCGAGCTCCGAGTCAGAAGGGGTCTCAGGATCTGATGGATCCGACTCGGAAAGTGAACTTCGAAGGATCTTCCTGGCCGCGGCAGAAGAGAAGTTGAACGGCACTGGGGGCGCCTCACAACAACCAGACCCGGCACGGACCCGTGCAAAAGCGCCAGAGGGAAGCCAGATCCCCGAACGTCGCTCCCCGGGTGATAGGGATCATCAAGAACGAGATCGCTGTTCGCATTGCGGGTCCAGGAAACACACGAATCTAGACTGTTGGAAACGTCTGACGTGTGATAAATGTGGGAAGAGAGGTCACCCAACGGATCGCTGTCTACACGCGAGTTGTGGATGCGGGGACGTACATGAGGCAGGAGAATGCCCCATGGAAGAATTCTACAACCAGATACGCAAATGGTGTTATCTGACTCGACACGCCGCGCTGTTCCCCGAACAAGTGGAGAAGATGTTAAACTAGGATGCTCGCCGGGATGGAATCCGGTACCAGCCGATCTTTCTAAGTACTGCATCTACGCATACGTGAACAAGGCGACGACAGGTCCAGGTAGGAAGGAGTTGGATCTACATGTACCTTGCATTCGTACGCCGCCAAGATCTCGAACCTCCCTCGGATCAGCGAATTCAGCAGATCTAATACGGAAGCGGCCTTAGATCTCAAAAAAGGAGAATCCCGGGGATGTTGGAAACGTTATGCATCGGGAAAATGGTTCTGACAAGCCAAGATCTCGGGCAGGATCAATCAAGAGAGAGAGAGCGATCCTGTTCCTAGATACTGGCACTGAGGTATCAATCTTGGACACCGCCTTTGCTCGTAAGCTGGGATGCAATTTTGACACTAGTCAGAGACAGGAATGTATGGGAATCGGTGACAACGTGTACACTACGGAAGGAAGAACCAGTATCAAGATCACGTTAGCAGGATATCTGGTGTATTTTTTCGACATCTGGATCGGAGATCTCTCAGGACAGAACGCGATCCTAGGCATGGATTTCATGGTCCCAGCCGGTGTGCGAATGGACCTCGCCGACGGATCGATGCGTCTACCTGACGAATTAGGAATATCGCTTAATGGTCGTAAGAGACTGTATGGCGAAAAGATGAGATCAGTGATTCTCGAAAGAAGTCTACGAATCCCGGTCGGTCGGTCGGAGGAAACGGCGGCGAGGATTAAATTGTCGGCCACCGAGAAACTGTGGGTGACCAGAGGAGTACGATGGGTACCGACAGTAACGGAAGGCCCCGGTCGGATCCACTACCTGGTGATCTCGAACATTGGAGAAGAGATCCTACGGTTGGACCACCGTCTGGACGTTGGTATGATCCTGGATCAAGACAAAGTACCCCGATCACCAGGGTTCGTGTCCGCCGGGTCACGTCGATACCTAGAATGACAGAATTTGGCATTGAAATCGACGGTGGAAACTAGATCAGTGCCTCCAGAACTTATGGAGGACCCGGCGGAGCTGGCAGTACAACGACCATCCTATCCCACGCCACGATCGATACTTCGCCGGGCAGAAATCACTGATATTGACAGAACTCGAACGTTGATATCGACCCTAGAATCTCAATCGAGGGCAGGAATTGCCAACGCAGCCCAGATCGAGGCAGAATTACTCGATCCGGAAGGGGGCCATCCATCTACGCCACCAAGAAATCCCAACGCCGATCGATACCGGAGCGGCGATGCTGGGGGCGGCAGGACACGTGAGAGCATGCCGGACCAGGCTACCTATCCGACGGACACCAAGGATATCAAGACGGGAAATCGGATTGGCACCAAGGATATCGAGCCGAAAACGGGAAATCCGAACTGTCAAACCCAGATCAAACTCGATCCCGGCGATGGATTCGACGTAAAATCCCCGATCCACCCGACCGAGGGCGTCGGACTACGAGATCCGCTGGTGGAAGGAGCAGCTGCGACCACCCCACAGAATACCGAGGACGATGATGATATATATTACCATGAGAGTGGTGATCTCTTAGCGGAAGATCTCGAGGGAAACCTCGCTGTCCTCCCCGAAATCCCGATCTCGACGACTGCGAAGGTCGCATCGAGGATTTGCAGGTAGGAGACCCCGGATCGGCCACATCCGAGGAGATCGAGAGGCTCCGGCAGATCATTTGGAAGAAGCGACACCTCCTGAGCGGCAAAGGGAACGCCCTACCTCCGGCGGCCAAGGGCGTCGTGTGTGACATCGATGTCGGAAATGCAAAACCGATCGCACTGCGAACCCGGAAAGTGTCCACGCGATTTCGAGAAAAAGTCGTAGGCCTGATCAAGAGCCTCCTGGCAGCCGAAATCATCCGACCCTCGACATCGCCATGGGCCTCACTGATCGTGATTGTTCGCAAGAGTAACGGCGTGGATATCAGGTTGTGCATCGATTACAAGCTGATAAACAGCCTCACGATGTTGATGGTCTATCCGATGCCCCTGATCAGCGACCTGCTAGAGAACCTTGATAAGGCATTATGGTATTGCTCGCTGGATATGGCAAGCGACTTCTGGATCGTACCCATGACGGATCGGGCTCGCGAGATCTCAGTGTTTATCACCCCGTTTGGATTATTCGAATGGAGTCGCAAGGCTTTTAGCCTAAAGAATGCCCCGCAGATCTATCAACGCCTCGTAGACAACGCGCTGTATGGAGTTTTGAAGATCTCGCAATCCGGCGCCGCTGGGGCTACGACGGACGTGTTCCAGACAGGAATTGCGGACAATCCTGATCGGGGATCAGTGTTGGGACGAAGATCATACATTGACGACATCATGATCGCAGCAGAATCGTGGGATCAAATGTGCCAAAGGGTGGAAGATCTGTTGGAGGCTTGTGATAAGTGGAATTTATCGATCAGTGTGGCGAAGAGCTTCTGGGGTATGGATAAGGTAGGATATCTGGGACACCGAGTGTCGATCGGAGGTCTAGAGGCGAACCCAAAAGATCTGAAATCCCTTACCGTTCTGCCATTCCCCGGGTCACTTCGATCCATGCAGTCGTTCCTGGGTAGTTTGAATTACTACAGCCAATTTATTGAAGACTACGCTATCTACGCGTCGGTGCTATATGAACTAAGCGAGGTGGAATGTGCAGAACTGGAGAAACGATCGGATCTGAGGAATATCATGGAACAGAACGACCCGATTGCTCGAGATCACGGCCCACCGGAACTGCAGTTGGCGGAACCATTGGATGAGAGGTGGATCAGGGCGCGTAGGGCCTTCACCACCCTGAAAACCAAGATTGCGACTACCCCAATTCTCCACCACTTCGGCGAGACGAGAAGGCCGGTAGTTATCGTATATACCAGTGATTGGGCGATATCCGCTTCGTTGACGCAAGAACAAGACGGGATCTACCATCCGGTTGCGTTCGCCAGCCGCACCTTGAAGACGAACGAGTTGAATTACAATGTGACCGAAAAGGAGGTGTTGGTATTGCTGAGGATCTTGGATCTCTACTACAATTTACTATTTGGACGCGAGATCCGGGTCCTAACGAGGCATTCCACGTTAGCCTGACTGTTCAAGTCGACAGGATTACAAGGTCGCCTAGGGCAATGGTCAGCCCTCCTGGCCCCGTGGACTCTCGAG